AGAGAGATGGACAGTGCAAGTACATTGTATTTCTGCAGACAAGAAACAGTCTTCCAATTTCAGAAACAATCAATAGTCTGAGGATCTAATACCACCGAGTAGTGAAAAGCAGAAGCGTGGTCCTGGCTGGTAACTTCTCCTTGCTGTGTCTGAGCTTTCCCTGTCTTGCTTTGCTTTGCAGATGAAGGTATTTGCTGTGCTCGAGACCAGCATGTGCCCGGGTCACTCGGCTCTCGTGTGAAGCCTGTCTCCTGGTTTGGTTAGTCCCTGTGCACTGCTTTCCTCCTCCCTGCTTCCAGCTCCGAACTGGCCAGTTAATTTCTGCTCACTATGGAGGCACCTTCTCTGCTGGATCTTGTGTACAAAAATAAAGACATCAAACAAAATCACATGTACTCAAGTGACAGTGTTCCTTCTGGAAATATCCTGCCAGCCTTTGTGACATGGAAGTAGCTTCAGTGCCCCCCCCCTTGCTGCTGCTGCTGAGTTGGTTGGTTGGAAAGCAACCTTGGTCAAGCCTTTAGCATGACTGCCATGGCCCAGGACAGACTGCAGGAGCATCAGGACAAGGTGACATGGCTGAGAATGAGAGCAGAGATACAGGAGCTGTCACATCCCTTGGGCTGCTCCGTCCACACCTCAGCTGCCAGCAGAAGTCAGGTGTTTGTAAGCAGCACCTCAAGCTTGTCAGCCACGGTGCTGTTGGAAAAGGTCCTTGGTCATGGACGTGTGGAGACTGGGGGGTCTCGGGGCAGTGAGCAGCACCGCTATGGCTGTGCCTGGGTTTTACCCTTGGCTGTTGCCACAGCAGTTGAAGATGAGCTGTTGGGTCTTTGGCCAGCACTACAGCCTTCCTCACAGCCATGTTCTGCCTCCCCTTTCTGGCTGCTACAGCAGGAGCAGCAGTTCAGTGATCCTCCCTGCTTGGGTGGGCAGGGGCTGGGCCGAGCCTGGCGGGTTGTCTAGTCTCTGGTACAGGTAGCCCCAGGTGTAGCTTCTGTGGTAGGTTTCCTGCTCTCCCTTCTTGTCCCCACGTGTTCAGGCAGTCCAGAAGGAGCGTGGCTGTGCTGGCTGTGGGGTGTGACGAGGGGCTCTCCCCAGCCCTCTGGGCATGGTGTGGTTTTTCTGAAACCACGTCTCTTGGGGCATTCCT